TTGTTCAACTCAGCAGCAAGCATCCTTTAACTTCCAAGAGAACTAAAAATGATGCAGCAGGGAACAAACCTACGCAAAGGGAGACTTGCTGTAATATACCTATGGATACAGTTTTTCTCAGAAGCTACCCTAAAAATAAGCCTATGACTATTGTCTCCTCTGCACCTCCAACCTGCAGGGACTACCAGCCCATCTTTCTGAATCCCCATTACCAGGGCCTTCTCCGTTCCTCCCCCTACTCCCCCTCCCAGCTTTGAACAAACCCTGGGCATTGTGCATGTTGCACCACTGAGCTACGTCCCCAGCCTGGTTTTCATGTTCTCTTGTCTGTTAAATCACCATCACTCATCCATGTGCTTGGCTGCTTCCAGAATTTTCTTGCTATTGTCTCTGCTTCTGTATTTCCTTCCCCTGTGGGTCTTTACGTTTCAAATCTCTTGACACATTTTTGTAATGCTTCAGAAGGAAACACAGGCAAATACGGCTCAATATGCCATGCATACTACCTTCCTTTTCTTCCCTTCTCCAAACTGCAATTATCCTATTTGCAGACCTTTACCCTTGTGTACTGGCTGTGTCAATATTTGAACTGTAGCATTTGGTCCACAGTGTGATAGGCTAAGAGCACAGAAAGACACTCAGACCTGATCCAGACAGGTTATCCTGGACCCAGAGCCTCCCACAAGAGGTGGAAAGGACACGGGAGAGCATGTGTAGTTGTACACAGAGAGCTGCTTTACATGAAGACAGAAAATTCTAGAACTGGAAGTGTGTGTGTGTGTGTGTGTGTGTGTGTGTGTGTGTGTGTGTGTGTAAAAGCGTGTATGCATGTGTGCTGGGTAGCACAACAGCGGTCTGCCAGTGACATGCCATTTTTCCTTTCCCAGGACTGCTCTGTCTTCCTTGACAGCATGCCCTTCTTTTGGAGAAATGCTTCCTCCTTCTGTGCTAATGATTTAGGTCTGAAGGGCATAGCCCATCCCATACCCCAGTAACAGGTCCAGGCCTCAAGAATCCTCCCTTGACTTCCTCCCTGAAGGAGGAAAAGGACAGCCCCAGGAGGGACATGGCTGTGGTGTAACTGAGCCCTCGGCAGCACTGGAGGTGCCTGATCCACAGTGGAGGGGAGGCGGGAGTTGACAGCCCCTGACAGAGGAGCTAAGAGATGGAGAACATCTTGTGGCTTTGATCCACATACACAAACCAGCCCTTTCCCTTTTGCTTTCCCTTGTTCTGTGGGTTTGTACTTACTGAGGTTAGATTTTTTTTTTTAGACTATAAGGAATTTTATTTTTTATTTTTTTATTTTTAGACTATAAGGAATTTTAGTTTTTATTTTTGGCATAATGTAAACTCTTATTTTTTTGTTATTATTTTTTTTATTCACATGTGCATACATTATTTGGGTCACTTCTCCCCCCTGCCCCCCTCTGAGGTTAGATTTTAACACTTGAAATTAAGAAGATGTAACTAATGTAACAACTGAATGCACAAAGCAAAAAGGGCTTCATAGTGAAGATTTTTGTTATGGCCATGTTATATAAAATTCCCACAGAATATTTAATTATTCATAAATAATTAGAGCTGAAGCTTTAGAAGACATTTAAAAATAAAAATATTAGCACTGTTTTCCATACTGGTTGGGATGTACAGTGACTTAAAATAGCACAACAGTACAGGGCATAACATCACAATTTACATTCTGAACCTTGAGGAAAAAGAAGAATAGACACAGGCCTAGGAGGAAAGTAGATAGTGGAGGGGGATTTTTAAGCCTTTTGTTTTTTTAAAGCTTTCCAAGTTTTTTTTGTTGCGTTTTTAAATGTACTATCCTGATTCCTATAAAAGAGAGCAAGTTTCAAGAAACTACTCTAAGGCAAAGACAAAATTGCTTTTCAGCTATAGAAATATCAATATGGGGATATTAAAATAACATTACAGGGGGCAAATCCCTAGAGTAGAATCTCTCAGGAACATAATTCATAGTATCTCATGTGACAGCTAGCATCTTTGCCACTTATAAGGTCCTCTGCATCTTTTCTTGGGACCAAAAGGGCATTATTTTTGACAACTATAGCTATTATCAATTGTATACCTATGGAAAAAAATGTGGAAAGTGAGTGCTTAAATTTTTCCTACAGTACACATTCTTGTCTGATTCTGTGTCTTGTGATGGATTCTGTAAGAAACTTATTCCTTTACCTGAGGAGTCCTGCCTCAGTCAGGCCAGGCCCTGTAGCTGGCTTTCACAGACTCTGGAGACATAGGTCTGACTACACTCAGAGCAGGAAAAAAAAGTGATGAGGCTTGAGGAGGTAAACAGAACACCTCTGGAAAGTTATATTATCTGGTTACTGGGGGTGATGAAAAGCCATGTCTCTAACCACACAATTGATGTCCACACTGGCATGTCACAACCTCATGCTGGATGTCAATGCAATCTCCTAATGTCTGAAGGACTACAATGCTCCCATGTGGCCTCTAGTCTGTGCTTCTTAATAAGCTGCAGAGCTCAGCCTTTCTTTCTGGTCTGCACTTTGGCTGTCTTTGGTATGCTGGTGGCCCCTAAAGAGACCTTGATATCAGCTCTAGGACTAATTCCAACGAGAACAAGATGCTAGATAAAAGGTTGACTTTAAGATAAAGTCTTAATCCAAGACATACTCTATTGTCTGAAGCAGTGTTAAAAAATGCTAAATATCAATTTGGGACTGACAATCACAGCTAGGTCCAGGGCATAATTCAGCAAGCCTAAGGCTAGTCCTTCTATGGAGATGGCAGTGACTATCATGGCTCCTGAACCCCTTTGGTCAGTCTTCCCAAGCAATAAGACACTGAAAGAAAGACACATTCCCTCTAACAGATACACTCAGCTAGGGCCACTGAATGACATGCATCTTGTACCTGGTGCCGAGTGATACTTTGGACCATCATGGACTCAGGTCACCAGAAGGACAAAACTAGATGAAGAGAAGAACTCAGATGAAGTGAACTCCTACTAAATAGATGGTGTTCCTAAAATTAACAGAAAACCTACAAGCTGAATTCTTCCAGCAATTCACATCTTCCAGTTTTGAAACTGAAACATCTGTGATTGGATTCTGGGTGTGACTGAGGACAGGAGGGGAAGCATGACGGCTCTTTGTTCTTCCACACGTGCTGCTCCTCTGTGAGAGGGCATCACTCCTAAGCTTCTCACCAGGGCTCTCATTCCAGTTACTTCCAAAATAATTAAGGCAGTATATTAAACCCTCACATAAATTTACCAGCTAGATATAATCATTAGCCCTGTCTTATAGATAAAGTGGGCCTGGGGTTTGGTGCGTGCTCGGGGCTTGTGTTTGCAGAACAGGCGCTCCACCACTTGAGCCACACCTCCAGTCCATTTTGCTCTGGGTATTTTTGGAGACGGGGTCTCAAGAACTATTTGCCCAGACTGGCCTTGAAGTGCAATCCTCCTGATCTCAGCCTCCCAAGTAGCTAGGATTAGAGGTGGCTCACAGTCACCTAGCAGGCAACCTTTTTCTGAATTGCCCACCTCACCCCCTGGAGTATACTGTCTCTGCTTAGGCAACTGGTCCTTACCTACCCAAACTGCCTAGCTCACCTCTGGAGGTGCAATTCTGCTTTCCTGGTGAGTCACTGTTTGCTATGTTGAAAAAACAACTGAAGATAGGAAACGTGCTTAAGGCCCGGTGAGAGCCAGGACCCAAGCTGAGGCAGTCAGGCTCAAAGCCTGCGTCCCAGCACACTGCACTACACCATCTGGCTCTGCCTAAGAGGGAGCAGCCTGGCTGCGCCCTTGCCACAAGTGTCCTAGCAAGACTGCAGGCAGGTACCCTTACCTGTTTGGGGTCCCGAGTTTCCACGTGGATGAAGCTGTACCATCCGGTCACTGATTTACTCAGTTCCCAGGTCCTCTCTCCCAGGATAGCCCTATAGTCGGCTCCTTTGCTTCCTGCTAAGGTTATTTCCCACTTGCTCAATGATAAGAATCACCTAGAATGCTTGTTAAAAATGCAGCCTCTCAGAATCCTCTCCTTGGGACTCTGATTCACTGGGGCTGACATGGTCCAGAAATGTATATTTTTAACAAGTGCCCCTGGAGACTCTTCTCATCAGGCTGATGTGACAAATGTTTTTCTAGGAGTTTTAGCCAATGGGAACAAACATCACTGCCCTTAAGCATTGTATATTGAGTCAACTTATTATTAAGCAGATGACATTATTAAAGCAGAACTGATCCAAAGTGATCAATACAAACGGCACAAAATGTTTGTTTATTTTCCAAGAAGGACATGCCGGGTGGGTTGGAGGGGTGTCTTTGTGGGTTTTCCCCCCTTTTTGAGCGATGACTGTTGAAACAATTCTTTAATGGTTTATGCCCGTGAGAGAGTTTTTGCACTGCTCTGGGTATGGCATAGCTTAAAGTATGCCATTTTAAACAGTTCTTTCAAGTCCTGCCTGAGAGAATTGTGAAAAGAGAAGATTAAATAAAGAGGAGAAAGACCTAAAGCAAAATTTTGTATTACACAGAATGAAGGACTTTGGCTTTTCAATGTAAATGATTATGAATCATATACAGAATGACTTAGGAGAGCATTTTATAAGAGATTAATTCAATTTAGATAGTCTACTCAGAAACAATCTTTGACACTCAAAGAAATCAAATGTAAAATTACTGACTCTTACGATGATTAAAATATTTTTAATAATAAAAGATCTCAAATGTGCCTAATCTGCTCTGGCACCCTGTTTACTGCGTGTCACAGAGATGTTTCTACCTGAGGCACTACTCAGAGCTAAACTTAATAGCTGTGTGTACGCGTTGGTGGGGGAAGAGAGGAGGATAAAAGCAAAAAGTAATAAAGAGTCAGAGGGGAAAGAAGGGAAATCCTCTCTACACCATGAGACACTCTGCTTCTCAGGCTTCCTTCTGAGTGCACTGTTGCAAATGGTGGCAGAGGCCTGCCTGATTCTGAGGCATAAGACAAACATACCTCTTGGTGGGCGTGGGCACTCCAGAGGACGTGTGGCTCACCATGGTGTCATTCATATTAGTCAGAGGGCGAGGAGGACTGGAAGAAAAGACGTTTTACATCGCGTTACTAATTACCAACATGACTACAGGAAGCAAGAAAAAGAATGCCAAGTGAAAAGGAAACAATCATTCCTGACAAGCACAGCGGGACATATGGGGAATGAGCACAGAGATCCCTGCTTCAAGCCTAAGGAGTTCAACAAGAAGGGTTCTCTCAAAAGGCCACAGGACCACAGAGACATGGGGTACTGAGTGAGCAAAATAATACAAAGACACTATGTCAGTCTGTAATCTCTTTCTAAATTATAATAGTACAGGGCAGTTTCATTAAGGATACACCTTTCTTTTAGCTTTTTTTGACAGTACTGGGGTTTGAATTCAGGGCCTCGTGCTTGCTAGGCAGGTGCTCTACTACTTGAACCACTCCTCCAGCACTGTTTTGTGTTGGGTATTTTCAAGATAGGGTCTTGTGAACTATTTGCCTGGCTGGCATAGAACCACAATCCTCCTGATCTCTCCTTCTGAGTAGCTAGGATTACAGGCGTGAGCCTCTGGTGTCTGACTCCTGGCTGATTTTGTACTGTAGTTTTAGTATACATAGATATGAATTCTGCCTCCTAATTTTTGTTGTTGTTGTTGTTTTGAGACAGGGTCTCAATATGTAGCCCAGGCTGGCCTCACACTCCATGTCCTTCTGCCTCAGCCTCCTGAGTACAGGGATTACAGGTGTGCCCTACCACACCATTTCATTTTAATCAATTTAATTTCTCTTCAGGATTATTAGGGTTCATACACCACAAGGTCACAACACTGACGTGCTTGTTTTTCTTGAGATTCAGTTACAGCTTACTATTCTCTTTCATATCTTGTGAGCAAACTTTTATTTTTTCCACTTATTAGATTTATTTTTTTTTCTTTTATTATTCATATGTGCATACAAGGCTTGGGTCATTTCTCCCCCCTGCCCCCACCCCCTCCCTTACCACCCACTCCGCCCCCTCCCTCTCCCCCACCCACTCAATACCCAGCAGAAACTATTTTGCCCTTATCTCTAATTTTGTTGAAGAGAGAGTATAAGCCATAATAGGAAGGAACAAGGTTTTTTGCTAGTTGAGATAAGGATAGCTACACAGGGAGTTGACTCACATTGATTTCCTGTGCGTGGGTGTTACCTTCTAGGTTAATTCTTTTTGATCTAACCTTTTCTCTAGTTCCTGGTCCTCTTTTCCTATTGGTCTCAGTTGGTGAGCAAACTTTTTACCAAGACATTTAAATTGTTAAATCTAAATTCAAAAATAGGACTCTTAAGCAAACTTTGATTACTCCTTTACTAGAATCTTAACAATGAATTAAAATTTTATACCTGTACCTTACCAGAATGCACCTTTTGTAGCCTAATCCAAATTTAAATTTGAAAGTAAGCATTTTGGTAACTTTTCTTCAGCTGCTAGTTTTGATTTCTCCCTCTTGTGAGAGTCCTGAGAATGAATCCAAACTTATCAAAAGGAGTCCCTTGTCTTGCCTTCTGGCCATTCTTCAGCCCCTCCCCCCCTCCCAGGGTCAGCCACAAAACATTTAGCCACAGGACAATTGCCAGATAGCCCTTGGGCCTCCGACTTCCTCTGCTTCTCAGAGACACTGGTCCAGCAAAAGCAGGAAAATGACGTCCTTTTCTCTCATTTAACTGTTGATTTCTCCTTACCCATGAGAGAAGCTAATTACATAAGATGTTTTTGTAAAGGTTATACTTACCAAAGCCTGGGGAATATTAAGGGACCATCTCCTTTATTATTTGGCAGGTCTCATAGCACGTTCAAAAAAAGGCTCTGAGGAAGTATTGCAGGGAGAACCAGACAACCCAGAAGTCAAAGATCTCTCTCTCTCTCTCTGTACTTATGCACCCTCCTCCCTTTTTATATCAATTTCATTTCTAGGTAAGGAAAAGTTAAAAAATAGTTCCTCATTTACTGGAGAAGATCCAAACTGCAATTTGCAGGTGACAGACCTAGGCCTCTTGACTTTTAAGCCACTGTACTATGCTATTGTCCTACGTTCCTTTCTCAGGAAAGTCACTGAGTAGGAGATTCAGATGCCTTCCCAGACTAGAATTCAATTCCAATTCCCAGACGGATACCTAAACTTCAGGCCTACTAATGTCAGTGGCTGCACTGAGCTATAACCAATTCATCAGTTGCTTTGGGAACTAATGAGAGAAGAGTACAGAGAGATTAGCTTACTTTTAGTCCTAAATTTCTATTTTGCCTCTGGGCATTTGAGATCAATTGTCCAAGTGAAGCAAGCACACAACCCCCAGTCAGCAGCACACTTTCCCGCCAGCCCTGGGAGCAGACGGGGCTTTGCTCTTTAGTATATGGGTAACAGCAATCCGTTTCCAAAGTAGATAAGGGTATTTTCATGGTGCTTTCAGAGCTAATACAGTTACCTAATTTATTTCAATATTAAAGATACTGCTACATTCAATTTCCTTTCTGACACTCTCAGAGGAAAAATGACAATAGAAAAAAATTCAATTCCTTTAGCATGGATTCGTGTGATAAAATTTCATGGTTTGTAGCATGTTTGCTCTCATGCCACAAAAGACCTTATGTATCTTGGCAGATCTCACACTCAACTATTATCTTTAGCATACATATAGAGAAGTCTCCTCCCTAATATTCAAAACCAGACAGTAATGATTACTTTGTATTCTGTAAACTCATTACAAGTGCACCCAAGGTTCATACCCTTTCTGGACTCCTAACTTGTTTTGCTAGAGACAGAGGTGATGAAAGAAGCATCCGTAAACCGTCAGGTCTTTAGTACAGGCTCTCCACCTGTACTTTGCAATACTAGAGGTATTGGAAAGCCAATACCTATAATGTACTCTTAAAATAATAATTCTGGGCTCAAAAACTCCTCATTGAACACACAGCTAAAAAGAGTACTTCAAACGAAATGTTATCATTTGCTGGTAAATGGATGGAATTGGAGAACATCATTCTGAGTGAGGTTAGCCTGGCCCAAAAGACCAAAAATCGTATGTTCTCCCGCATATGTGGACATTAGATCAAGGGCAAACACAACAATGGGATTGGACTTTGAGCACATGATAAAAGCTTTAGCACACAAGGAAGGGGTGAGGATAGGTAAGACACCTAAAAAATTAGCTAGCATTTGTTGCCCTTAACGCAGAGAAACTAAAGCAGATGCCTTAAAAGCAACTGAGGCCAATAGGAAAAGGGGAACAGGTACTAGAGAAAAGGTTAGATCAAAAAGAATTAACCTAGAAGGTAACACCCACGCACAGGAAATCAATGTGAGTCAATGCCCTGTATAGCTATCCTTATCTCAACCAGCAAAAACCCTTGTTCCTTCCTATTATTGCTTATACTCTCTCTACAACAAAATTAGAGATAAGGGCAAAATAGTTTCTGCTGGGTATTGAGGGGGTGGGGGGGAGAGGGAGGGGGCGGGGGGGGAGAGGGAGGGGGCGGAGTGTGTGGTAAGGGAGGGGGTGGGGGGTAGGGGGGAGAAATGACCCAAGCCTTGCATGCACATATGAATAATAAAAGAGAAAAAAAAGAGTACTTCAAGCAAACATTAATGATACAAGTTTCAGAACTTTACAAAACAGCAGTTAGCACAATCATTAGATGGTCTTTGATCTTTAAAATTTAAAACCAGTTGAATACCTTGACCATGTCACCAGATGGCCTGTGACTTCTTTTAGTGAATATGTCAACAAGGTATCTTTAGACACTAGTGAGCTCCATGATACAAAAATGACCACCAACCATCACTTGGTCCAGAAATTTGGGAGGTTTCGTCTGTTAATAAAATACATTCTTCCTTCACTAAATGAGGAGACACAGGCAGACTGGAGACACAGGTAGAAGGCAAAAAGAAATCTGCTAGTCAGAAGAGGTGATTTTAAATATGCTGGGAGACCTGAGTGTGGTGGCTCATGCCTTTAATCCCAGCTACTTGAGAGGTGGAGACTGGGTAGATTGAGTTCAAGACCAACCCATGCAAAAAATTAGCGAGACTCCATCTCAATCAATAAACCAGTCATGGTGGCACATGATTTTCATCCCAGCTATTCAGGAGGCATAAACAGGAGGACTGCAGTGCAGAAAACATGAGACCCTATTCAAAAAAATAACGAATGCAAAAAGAGCTGGATCAAGTGCTAGAGTTCCTGCTTGGCAAGATTGAGGCCCTGCATACAAACCCCAGTACTACCTAAGGAAAAAAAGTGCTTGGAGAGCCTTCATTTTTTTTTCTGGTGTTGGAGATCAAATTCAGGGCCTTACACGTGCTAGGCAAGTGCTCTACTACTGAGCTATATCCCCAGTGCTTTACTTCTTAATCAAAGGATCAGAGGCGCACTTCCTAGGTGCCTACTTACAAGAGATAAGAAAGAGTATCTATCTTTATCTGAATGACTTAACTATACAGATATGCAAATAAAGAACCACAATGCCAAGTAATGGATCCAGCAGAACAAGCACCGACAAAGCCACCCCTAAAGCTTGGTGAGGGAGTGAGCTCCTGGGCACCTGTCCAAGCCACGCCTTCTCCCCAGGCCCTTGGATACAGCCTCTTCTATAGGAAGCAACCCGGACTACCCAATGATTTTAGATAGTTCTTTCCCCCAGAACAGGTTTTCGTTGCAGAAGGCACAGTTCTGAAACTCTCTCACTTGGGCAACAGTCTGCCAGCTATCACTTGGGCATCATTATCAGACTTCCTGGTCTGTTTACTACTGTTGGTGTGAAAGGGCAAAGGATTTTATTATACCCTTGTGCTTCCTTTTATGTGATTACGTCTGTCTATATTCCTCACAATGATGCTTTATTTACATAGGGGCATGTAGCTAATACATTTAATCTTTTATTAAATGTTTCTGTAGCCATCTATTTTGACTTCAAATCTAGATGCCTGTGTTACTTCTAACATTATCTTCCTTGCTCACGCAGGTCACACTTGTGAGCCATGTGGCAGATCTCATCAATGCTACACCAAATGCAAACCCAC